CCCCCCCCCCCCCCCCCCCCCCCCCCCCTGCAGGCAGCAGGGTGTGAATCTGGGGGGTTTTTTGCCCCTGTTCTGATGGGCATTTTGGGCGGCAGCTGTATTGCAGAGATCCTTTTCCTCATGGAGCAGCTGCGGAGCCTGGTGCGGCGGCAGGTCGGCGTGCTGCGGCGTTACCACGTCCAGTACCTGGCCCGCTTCGATGCTCTGGTGCTCAGTGAAATCATCCAGGTACCCCAGAACACCACGCCTGGGGCTCTCATTCTGTGTCCCTCTGTCCTCTGTGGCCTATCCTGGTTGTCCCCTGTCTCTGTCCCTGCAGAACCTCTCTGTGTGCCCCGAGGAGGAGTCCATCATCCTGTCGTCCTTTGTCAGTTCCCTTTCTTCTCTCTCTGACAAAGGAGGTAAGGACCCTGAACCTGCTGTGTGTCCCCGGGGAGTTTGTCCTCCTGCCCTCGCAGCCCAGCAACGGCCCTGGAGCTGTTGGGCACCCAGCTGCAATCTCCTGGGGGCAGTGGGGTGACTGGAGGTCCTGGGGGTCCTGTGGGGTGAAGGCTGCCACCCCCAGCTGGCATCCACCAGCGTGATGCATCCGGACCGGCACCCCCTGGATCCGTACCTCCCAGTCAGCACAAACAACCTGAAGCTCACCCAGCCTGCCTCCCTCAGCCCCTCCTCATGGCCACGTTTCTGTTTTCCTGCAGTCGATGATAAGGAGCAGTTTGATTTCACGCCGCTCCGCCTGGACTGGTTCCGGCTGCAGGTGCCGTCCCCGTCTCAATTCCCATCCCTGTCCTCGCTGCTGTGCCAACCCCTCTCCTGTCTTCCCATCTCAATCCGTGCCCCTATTTCCTTCCCTTCCCTACTGCTGTCCCTGGCCTTGTTCCTATCCCTGCCTTCATTCCCTTCTCCCCATCCTTCACCATTCCACCGCCATCCCTATCACCCTCCCGTCCCCAATGCTCCCAGCTGTGCCCTGAGCCCGCTGTCCCTCTAGGCCTACACCAGTGTGGCCAAGGCTGTGCTGCCACTGAGCACCAACCCCGACGTGGGTCGCATCATGAACCTCATCGTCTTCCACACCAAACTGCTCGATTCCCTGGAGGAGCTGCTGGCCGAGGCCTCTGACCTCTCCGATCTGTGGTGAGCTCCAGAGTTACAGGGGTCGCCTTGGCTGCCTCCTGCCCCTCAGCACACGTGGGGAGATGCCCTCGTGTTACAGGGGAGGCTGGGCAAGGTGAGGTGACGTAGACTCAGAGGATGTGGGCGCAGGCGTGGGGGACAAGGACAACACGCACATGAGACAGGAGCTGACAGCCCCACTCACACACATTCTGCCCCTCTGCCTCCCATCCCTGCAGTTTCTTCCCTCGCCCCGTAGAGAAGATGTTTGTGGCAACCATGGAGGAGCCCTCGATGCTGCGTTACAGCATCGCCTTCCCTCTGCTCTGCAACCACTTCTCCCGCTGCGTCCACCCCATGTGCCCGGAGGAGGTGAGCCCTGCTGCTTGGGGTGACGATGTGGGGACCTGGGGGGACCTGGGGGGACCTGGGGGACCTGGGGGACCTGGGTGCTGTGTCTGGATGCGGCTGTGGAGGAACCAGGCACTTCTGGTGGCTCGTGGCAGGGGATGGAGGATGGGGACCTGACCTTGGGATGTGACCGTGGCCTTTGTGTGCCTGCAGGATGTCCCCGCGCTGGGGACGCGTTGTGACAACGCTGTGCATTTTCCTTTGCAGTATCCTCAGCTCCAGGCTGCGGCGTTGGGGCTGTGCAACAAATTCCTGGAGGAAATGGCTCGTCAGGCCTGCGCCTGCATCATGGACGCCTGTGCTGAGCAGCACAACCTCAGTGAGCAGGTGAGGGTCTCTGTGGGGTCTCTGTCCACGTTCTCCACAACCTTGGGACACCAGAGGCTGCGTGGGATGGATGTGACGTCCCCGATTCAACCTTGGGGATGGTGGCTGCTGGTTCTGGAGGATTTAATCATAACCTTCTGCCCTTGGCCACCAGCTGCTGCCCAAGCACTGTGCCTCCACCGTCAGCAAGGCCCGTAACAAGAAGACCTTGAAGCATCCATCCAAGAAAGGGGAACCTGAGCGAGGCAAACCAGGGGCTGAGAGCCAGAGGAAGGACAGGACGGTGACCACCAAGTGAGAGCAGGGCTGGGGAGGGGGGGGAGAGGGTGGGCACAGGGGTGGTTGGTGGCCGGCTGTGACATGTGAGTGTGACAGTGTGATGGGGATGGGAGCAGCGCCACGGGGCCGTGGTGAGGCTGACAGCATCTGTGTCCCCCCCAGCATGGACAAGCTGCACCTGACACTGGCTGAGCTGTCCCTGAGCCTCAACCACGTGCCCAACTTCACGGTCTTTGAGCACACGGTGACGCCGGCTGAGTATCTCAGCAGCCACCTGGAGGCACGCTTCACCAAGTAGGCTGTGGGCAGCGGGCAGTGATGGGGAGGAGATCTTTGGGCCCGGATCTACAGCCAACCCCCCCGTCCTGTCCCCGCAGGGCCATCGTGGCCATGGCGTGCTACAGCCAAGCCACGCAGGAGGTGGCTCGTCCCTCCGAGGTGCTGGTGGGTCTGGGTGCCTACATCACCTTCATCCAGTCGCTGACACACTTTGTGGGCCTGGACACGGTGCGCATCATCCGCAGCGTCCTCCTGCAGCAGACGCAGCCCCGAGACGCCGGCGGGGAGCAGACCCTCACCACCATCTACACCAACTGGTGGGTGCCAGCACCCCCAGGGACCTGGCTTGTCTCCCACACGGCACGTTGATCCCTGGTGCCGTGGGTTCTGCTCTGTCAGCGTCGGCAGCTCGATGCTTGCAGGTACCTGGAGGCCCTGCTGCGCCAGGCCAGCACTGGGGCCATCGTCCTGGCGCCCGCCCTGCAGGCCTTCACCACGGTGCCCCGTGAGGGTGAGCCATCCTTCAGTGCTGCTGAGTTCTCCGATGTTTCAGGTGAGGAATGGGGAGGGGGCAGTGCTGGGGTTCATCCCCTCTGTCCCCCTGGGATGCCCCCATCCCTTTGCTCCCATCCCCATCCTTTTGTTTCCGTCCCCATCCTTTGCTTCCATCCCCATCCTCTGTTTCCGGCCCCACAGAGATGCGAGCGTTGGCCGAACTCATCGGGCCCTATGGCATGAAGTTCCTGAGTGACAATCTCATGTGGCATGTGAGCTCCCAGGTCGCTGAGCTGAAGGTAAGGTGGGGTGTTGGGGCCAGGTTTGACGTGCTGACACCAGGCCGGTGGTCCTCAGGGTGCTTAGACTGGCTGTGGGAGCACCGGGGCGGGCAGTTCCACCCTGGGGAACCATCCCAGCTCCTTGCCTGCCCCTTGGGCTTGCTATCGAGGGTCAAGGTGGGGCAAAAGCACCAGGACAGCGTTCCCAGTGCTGTGAGCCCCCCGTCCACTGCAGAAACTGGTCAACGAGAACATGGACACGCTGGTCCAGCTGCGCTCCAGCTCCTGCAAGCCTGAGCAGATGGCAGCTCTGCTGCCTCGGCTGACCTGTGAGTCTTGGCCTGTATGCAGGCTTGCACATTTGCACACTTGTGTGCACAAGCACACATCTCTGCTGACCCCTTTTTTCCCCCCCCTCCCACAGCAGCCGACAATGTCCTGAAGAGGATGACCATCATTGGTGAGATCCTGAGCTTCCGTGCCATGGCGCAGCAGGGCCTGCGGGAGGTGGGTGCCCTCTGTGTCCCCACAGACTCAACTGTGAGCCCCACGGGGGTCGCCTTGGGTCCTGTTTCACGCACTGAACGCTCTCTCCCTGCAGGTCTTCTCCCACCACTGCCCCTTCCTGATGGGTCCTATTGAGTGCCTGACCGATGTGGTCACCCCTGACACCGACATCCAGGTGGGCACAGGGACGGGGTGGCACCTCCCGTGCTTGGGACAGCTGGCCCCATCTGGGGGTTGGCTGTTTCTGCCTGGCACAACGTGGCGCCGTGTGGGCACTGCATGGCGTTTCGTGAGCTCTGTGTGCTCCAGTGCTCCAGCCTGGCGTGTCCTTGTCCTCCCAGGTCACCCTAAGCATCTTCGAGCTGGCCTCGGCTGCGGGGATCCCCTGTGAGATCGACCCTGCCCTGGTCAACGTCCTCGCTGGCAGCAAGATGGGTACTGTGGGGTCTGCGGGGTCCTGGGGGGCTGTCCTTAAGATCCTCCACCAGCAGCACAGCACAGACCCCCAGCTGCAACCACCCCCCCTGGGCTGTTTCTCTGGGTGCCCGCTGTCCTCCCCTGGGACCCCCCACCCCATATCACCTCCCTGGGGTCTCCGAGGTTTTCCTCCTCGCACCCCTGACTGATGTCAGCTCCCTCTTGGGCAGACGGCTCACCCTCAGAGGAGGACTACAAGGTGGCCTGCCTGCTGCTGGTCTTTGTGGCCGTGTCCCTGCCCCTGCTGGCTTCTGACCCAGCGTCCGTCTACAACACCGAGATGGATGGTAAGGCTTGGCCGTGCCCAGCTGCGTCCCCGCTGACCCCACTCTCCATTAGTGTGTGCTGGGACCCCCAAGGGGACAGCAGGGCCGTCCCCAACCTCTCTGTGTCCTCAGGCTACAACAACAACATCCACTGCCTGGCCAAGGCCATCATCCACGTCTCAGCCGCGCTCTTCACCCTCCACAACAAGAACATCGAGACCCACCTGAAGGAGTTCCTGCTGGTGAGTGAGGGAGGGATGGAGCGCAGCCCTTCCTGCTGGAGGTGAATGCAGCCCGGTGCTGATCAGGATCCATCCCTCAGTTGGCCTCTGTGAGCCTCCTGCAGCTGGGCCAGGAGTCGGACAAGCTGCGCGCCAGGAACCGCGACGCCATCGCTCTGCTCATGCAGTTGGTGAGCGATGGAAGGGACAAAGAGATCCTGGGGGGCTCCTCGAGGGTCCCGGAGGGGCTGCTGGACCCCCAACCTGCAGCTGCTTTGGGGTTCTGAGCCCTCACCCCACTCCTGTCTCCCATCTGGGGGGCTGGATGTGGGGGCCGCGCACCCCCCGGCCCTGGATTGGTATTCAGGGAGCGCTCGCCCTGCGAGGCAAAGCAATTTAAATGCAAATGTTTCAATCTGTGGCTGGGGCTCAGAAGCATCCGGGGAGGGAGCACCCAGCTCTGCCTGTATGGGGGCAAAAGGAGAAACTGAGGCACACGAAAGGGGAGGAGGGAGGAAGCTGTTCACATCACATCCTTTACCTCTGCAGATTGTGGCCGAGTCGTCCTTCCTGACGGTGGACATGTTGGAGAGCTGCTTCCCCTACGTGCTGCTCCGCAACGCCTACAGGGAGGTGTGCAGGGAGAACCTGCTCGGCAGGCTGCCACCCCACTGAGGGCGTCCCTAGGGATCCTAAATGCACCCACCCCATTCCCAAGGACCCCCACCCCATCCCTGGGAACCTCCATACGCACCCACCCCATCCCCAGGGACTCCCACCCCATCCCCAGGGACCCCCATATGCACCAACCCCATCCCCAGGGACCCGCATCTCCTGCCTAGGGACCCCCATATGCACTTACCCCATACCCAAGAACCCCATACCCATCCCTAGAGACCCCCAAGTGCACCCACCCCATCCTTAGGGACCCCCATATGCACCCACACCATTCCCAAGGACCCCCACC